ATAATCCGAGAAGTAGCGGACGAAACGTCTATGAGCCATCCCGAGAAATGGATCGCCGCCCAGATCGCACTATCGACCAACATTCGGTGCGTGAGAGCCATGATAGTAGTGAAAGGAGCAATCATGAGCGGCCTAAGGAAGATCGAAGGAGCAGTAGTAGCAGTATTGTTCCTAAACTACAAGATAGACGGGATTTTCCTAAACCTCAGGAGAGAGATGAGCCTAAATCAGAAAGAAGAGATGCTCCTAAACTGCAGGATAGGCGGGATTCTCCTAGACTACAGGAGATAAGGGATGCGCACAAACCGCAGGACAGACGGGATGCTTCACTAAATTATAGACGGGATTCTCCTAGAGTGCAGGATAGAGGGGATGTTTTCAAAACAGATAGAAGGGATACTCCTAAACCTCATGATAGACGGGATTCCCCTAAAATACAGGAAAGAAGGGATGCTCGTAAATCACAAGATAGGGATGCCTCTAAACCACTGGATAGACGGAATACTCCCGAACAACGGGATAGAAGAGATGCTCCTAGGTTTCACGATAGAAGCGGTGCTCCTGAATCCGAGGACAGACGCTATGCACCTGCAAGGCAGGAGAAAAGGGATGTCCCTGTGCCACGCAATAGACGAGATTCTCCAAAACTACAGGAAAGAAGGGATGCTCCAAAACCACAGGATAGGAAGGATGCCCGTAGGGATGATGACAGACGTTCTCGTGAACGGCCGCGTGAAGTCAGCGTTCAGACTAGTCCAGACAAATCTCGCAGACGTGAGCGCGACCGAGTGGACTCTAGAAGCAGAAGTCCGAAACGTCCCGAACTGTTGATTGACGAAATCCGTAAAAATACGCGCGATCATGCTCGTATTAGTTCCGATGCTGTCAGTCATCGTCATAGTCGCGATGAATCTGCCCATAATGAAAGACCTGTCATGGCCAAAGTTTCGAAAATTGAAGAGTCTGAGCAGGAGGATAAGGGATTCGCGAAGAGGCCAGTAGCGAAAAGCACATCTGAAGGTGAGCTCATCTTCAACAATTTTTATTAAATCTTTCTGTTATTACCGATCTTACAGGAACTCTGGAAAAGGCTGAGACTGTCTGGATGGTGAGATTTTCGATAAACTTTGCATTGCAAATCTGTAGTATCATCAGCGCATTTGCATTGAAATCTTGCATACAAGAGCATCAATGATTCTGAGTTTTTTCTTACCCTTAGAGGTACTTTATTATATCCCAGATTTATCTTCGGAAAAAGTCTAGCATGTTTTTATTTCGGAAATTTTGCGCACGAAAACCACAGAAAATTTCAGACGATTTTTTTTGTTAATTGGTATGGCGTCTGTAAATTCGCATCAACCTAAAACATTAACATGCCTGATTAGTCAGACAATTTCTGTTAGGGGTTTTTATACTTAATCGAATCGTTGATGTTTGATGCAGTCCACGTTGTAAGAATGTTGATCTATGAAGTTGATTTTTTTTTT